ATCTTAATAAAATTTCCAACCTCCCCCAAAGTGGTTAAGAATACTGAGGTTGCTCTCCTATTTCTGAAAAGTAGTTTCAGGTATCTGGGCTATAATGCAGAAAAAAAGAGAAGTCATAGACTCATGTTGGAACTGGAACTCCATCAAATCCACTGTCCAATTCCACTCAATGTACAGTTGAGATGCTGCTCAGGGTGTTTAAGGACCTGCTCACGTTACACTTGCTGACCAGATTGGGGAGGTAAGTTTTTGGAGTGGGCATAGGATCACAATCATGTTATATTGATTTACACATGTTTCAACTTTGTCACATTCATTATTTCATTTGGGACAAGAAATACATTCATTTCAGTGAAAGGATATTAAAAGTCATGAGATTAAATAGGTTTCTCAAGCATTTTCAAGAGAAGGGACTGTTTTGAATCATCCTTTAGCTCCTTCACCCTTCAGTCTTTACACCAATACCTTGAATCCCCTTCCACTCCCTCCGTGTGTTTTCAAGAGAAAAATCTTAACACACTGTCTTTAATGAGGGTGATAAGAGAATGATGGTATAAAGAGAGCCATAAAGTTGCCGGAGATACAGTGTGGGTGCAAGATGTTAAAGCTCATATTCAAATATTACAAGTGCTCTGATGTGGATATTTCATGGGGAGAAGCATGAAAGAGGGACGAGAAGGGTGTTTTGGATCAGGTGGCGCCTGATGGCCAGACTGAGACATACTACAGAGATTTTGGTCATGAAGGGCTTTGGATGTGTTCCTGGAAGAATGGGGAAGGTACAGCCCCAGATACGTTGAGGTAGGACTCCACTCCCTGGTAGTTGTGTGGTTTATGATGTGTGCATCCCCAGGGCCTGGTTATAGGTAATAGATCTTAGCTGCTGGCTACAGTTATTGCACGGAGGGAGTGGAAGGGATTTAAGGTATTGGTGTGAAGACTGAGGGGGGAAGGAGCTAAAGGATGATTCAAAACAGTCCCTTCTACGTATACTAGAGAGAGGAA